GCCAGTGGCGTTCTTGGACTAGGCAGCTTGTCCAAGGCCACACAGATGGCAGAACATTTAAACCCATCAGCCCCAAACATTCCAGGTGATCTTGGTTGATCCCTCTCCTGGAAGACATAGTGAAGATTCCAACTTCTGGCCTCTGGCTCTGCAGGCAGGCACTCAGAAACAATATTTTGTGGTAAATCATTCCTGGAAACCTAAAGGAAACATAGCCAGAGGGACCGTCCTTGAAATGCTTGGTTGAGGAACACACAGCTCCATGACAGACAGTTGCATCTGAATTTTCTACATCAGCATTTTCTGGGCCAGCCTTATGGTCACCTGATGCATTTGGACTACAGCTCCCAGAATCCCTAACCAGGGGTCTGCTGACTGATTGTAGCCCAACAAATGTGTGCAACACCAAGCTCAGAAAGGTATTTCTTCTCACACACAATGAGATAGGGCGGTGCTGAAACAGTAAACTGAAAAGGTTTCCAGCAATTCCATATGGTTTACAGGAAAGAATCCTCATGAGAAAAGATCAGAATGACCATCTGTTTCCTTGTAATTTTCCTGTTGACCTGCAAAATGGCTAGTGATTCTTGCAGAACTAAAAGCTTAAGAGTAGCCCATTTTGTAAGACAACTGAAGTCACAGATCCACGAAGGTACACTCTGGCTCCATTAACTTCTCAGGCAATTGTCCAGGCCGATATGACCAAATGCATTTTCTCAATCCAGGAATCAAAGCTCATTTCAGAGCGACTTTGAGAGGCGTCCTAACGTACAAAGTGATTTTCCCTGCTCTTGCTATATGAAGAGTCAAGGGCATCCACTGCCAAAGGCTTGAGTCTGCTGAGTATTGCTGGGCTCCAAAAAAAAACAGAGATGCCCTTCTTACATGCTTAGGGATTATCTGTATTTCTGCTGTACCTTGCATTCTCAGTTTAACCAAGTTTTATATTTGTTGCATCTTCTCCCAAAGCAGAAAACTGAACCAACATTGACTTTCATTTCCTTTAGGTATATTGAAATTTTAAAAAATTGCTTCAAATGCAGCCCATTTCACACAAACCACAGCCATCATTCACATCTTAGCTATGGTCAAGTTGAAGGCACAAAGATTATCTCAGGTCTGTATCTATGTATATTTCAAGCCTGGGAGTAAGGACTCAGTCCTTTCCTTATGTTTTTGAAATATCAGGAAGGGAACCATACCAAATTCCTTTTCTCTGGAATAAATTGCAAGCAATGAATGCAGGGAATTTATGGAACTGGTTGATTTGTTCAAGTGTTTGTTTTAAAAGGCTAGCCCATTTTCAGGTGGGGGAAAAAATCAAAATGCATGAAGAGCCAGTTAAAGTGACAATAAATGAAATATAAGCCTTACAGATAAAAATAGAGCAGATGAGCAATAAAGACAGTAGCATAAAATAGTAGCAGCTTCTTTCCCCAGCCATCTCTTGCCTCCTCTCTGATATTGGAGGCTCCCAGAGAAATATCCCTGATTTTACGTTAATGAATGGGAATACAGTATTAGTAGGGGAACAAGTATCTCTTCACTAGAGAGAAAATTAGCAGAATGTATGATAAACTATGATGACATACATGGAGATCTCATGAGTTTTGATTCACTGATGGTTCTCCATTCAAATCAATGCCTACTAGCCATAATAGCTAAATGTAAGCTCCACATTCAGGGCAGTGCGCCTCTGACTATCAGATATTGGAATGAAATTGTAGCAGAAGACTGTTGCCTTCCTGCCTTGCCTGTGAGTTTCCTGGAGGGATCTGGCCGGCCACTGCTAGAAACTGGTTACTGGGTATTGAAAATGGCTGGGGAACAAATTTAATTTCAGAGAGGTTTTTGGAGGCACAGTGCAGTGTTGGGCATGACCACGGCAAAGGGGTCAGGCCAAAAATAAGGCCAGCATGTTTTGGTTTGAAACTGCTGCTGACAGAAACCAAAACTTTAGAGAAGCATTTCCACCTTTCAAAATGAAGAAAGTATAAAGCTGGGAATCTACCAAATGATGGCATCATGAAGAAAAAGGGTGGTCCCCTGAGAACGCTTAGGGGGCTCAGTTGGGTTCCTGGAGAACCAGATTTGGGGCAAGGATTTTAAGTTGCCAGTCAGTGGGCTAGATGTACTCTTAGCCAGACTGGGCAGGACTGTTTTTGATCGGCAGCAGGAAAGGAAGGCAGCACATATGAGCGTCCCACCCATTCCCTGCCCTGAGATGTTCCTTGAGCAACTTTCATCTTCTCTTTTCTACACAGGACAGGATGAGTCACCTGAAGCATTCTGTCCTGGCTGTCAGTCCAGACCCACTCCTTGTATTCATAGAAAGTCATGTGTCATTGCATGTGCAACACATCACCCCATAATCATGGGTGAACTTCACATGATGTCCCTAAATCAGACAAGTGCTGCAGCGTGATCCAACTTTTGGGAAAGACCATCCTTATTGAGGTCAGGAGAGTTCCCCTGGCACTCTGCCAGTCCTGCTATGATTTTCAAACTTTCATGGGGACAGGCAATGGGACTGGAGGGCAGAAAACTCTAAAATTGTCTCCTGCATTTGTTTACTAATAAAATTATCTTCTCGTACTATTTTGACTGAACAAGTGTGCTGAGGCCATGTAAAGCAGTCACATTTATTGATTCGTAAGACAAAGCTATTTAACCTGACCCTAAACCCTTATAGTCTTCATTACAGCAGTGCAGAGATAACGTTTATGTTGGCTAATACAAAAATTTGCTCTAACTATATGCCTTTTGCTTTTCGTAGTGTATTGGCACACATATGGAACAGCTCTTCACACATGCACTAAAAAAGGCTCAACAATATCATAAATAAGAATACTCTCCACTATGTGTTCCATGTAGTGAAGGCCTATCGTAAACCTTGCTAAGTGGATGTATCAAACCTAGCCCACAGTGAAATAATTTTGACATGTTGATCATAACATCAGTCTTCTTGAAAAGCATATGTGAATTCTAGGCCATTCTAAAAGAGAGCAAATCACTGTCTCTTTAACACAGCAGTTCTGCACTGCCTTCTTATCTAAGAATAATCCACACCCAAGTACAAACTTTTCTGTCCTTGCACAGGTCCATTTCATGTCTTCCTCTGGCCTCACCAATATGGGTAGAATTGAGGTGCAAAAACCAGATCAGCCTTTCCTGCCCAAACTGATGTTTTATAAGTGTGTTTGAGTACAACCCCCATCATGCTCAGACAGCAAGTTTGTGGTTAGGACAGTTTAATTCATTTGGAAGCCTCCTGGCTGGGCAGTATTTGGATGGGACCCTTCAAAGCAGTTAGGTTACTGAGAAAATAGAGTTGTTCCCTTGTCTAATTAGGTTCTCTTTATTATACAATAAAAGAAGAATCTGCTGCAAAAAAGGAAACATGTCAAATAGTCCACACCTAAGGAACTCTGCATTCTTTCAAGCAGTGTGCTGGTCTGTTCAAACACAATTCCCCTACCAGTTTGATAAAATGTGTATACATTTCCTTTTAAAGAGCAGTAATCCAGCTATTAATCGGGGGCCTCTTCTGCAGGCAGATCTAAGGTTAAAATCTTGAGCAGACCTATTTGGGAGAAAGAAACACAGCAACCAGAGACTGACTTCTGATTACATCCAGCTGTAATAATCCTGGAAATTTTCTCGCTACCATTAGAGTGGGGCAACTTCCAGGATGTAAAGCAAAACAGCGGCCAGCAGCTGTGACAGCTGAGACTGAGGAATAGAGTAATCCCAGTAGAACCTCACTAGTCCAGACTGTCCACTGACAAGACCATTTCAAATTGCTGAACTGCTTGGGTGCCAGCCAATTAATTACATGAGCTAATTAAATCTCACCCTACACAGAGACATCCAGAAGCGCATATAAATTGCTTGCAGCAATAATTCCAACGGTATTGTGAAAGACCACCAAGCACATGGCACAATCCACATTCGGATAACATGGTATCCATTAACTAATTGACACTTTGAGTTCTATAAATACAGTACACATCTATTAGTGGACTGCTTGCAGTAAGACGTTTACTGAGGAAAGCTAGGTAGGTCAAACCTTGTCTAAAGCTAGTTTGCAAGCAACCGAGCCATTTAGATTGATGTGGCTTCATCCTACTTAAAATCCCCATGAAAATCATCACTGTTTCATGTAAATTGGAGAAGTTACTTTTAGGGCTAGAGCTTCCCAGGATTTCCAACCAGCCTGTGGTCATTCTAGTGGGGCAGAGAAGCCTAATCCAGATCTGTTTGTCCTGTTATTTCCAGAATTTATATGCAAAAAGAAGCAGACTGCTTTGGAGTGAATGAATTCATTGTGGTCTGAGAAACATCAGCCCTACCTTCACTTGAAGTTTCATTCCAAAACACAGCACAGCAAACTTTTGCCCAACCGTGAAGTCTGCAAAACCAAGAGTGTCTTAATAAAAGAATGTGGCAATTCCCTGCTTTGGGGTGTTGACACATGAAGCTCTTCCATTTTCTCTCCCTCGCTCTATAGTCAACATGCATGCCTTAATTGTTGCCGTTTAGCAACACAGCCTGCAAGCTGCCACTTCATTGGCTTGAGATTCCTGCAAAAAATGTGGCTGGCGGGACCTTCTAAGTGAAATGACAGCTCAAGCTGATGCACGTCTACCCAAGCAACACATCCTATTGAATTCAATAAGGCTGGCACTCTAGTATCTTGACAAGCTTGGGAAAGATTCTTTTCTGGACTACAGTTCCTAGAATCCCCTAGCCAGCCTTGTTAGTGAACATGCTGGAACATACAAATCCTGGGATTTGTAGTCCAAAAAGAAAGGTATCCAAGCTCGACTACAGAATTGTAACCCGAGTGTGTTAAAATCAAGGGCAAAACCCTCTGAAACTTTCCTGGCAGGAATAGGAAGGAAAGCAAAGACAGGCTGCTCCTAGCTCAAAGCAAGCAATGCCAGCTTAGACACAGCAAACAGATGCGTGCAGTCAGGTATGCCAGAAAGCAGCCTTACCTTTGAGAAAGAAAGGGCCTTTCTGTGGACGGAGGTTTCTTACACTCCTGCTGCCTTGAAACGCTGAAGTGCAGTGAAGGGAGTGCCTTGCCTGGCGGGGTTATAAGTTTCCCCTGCTGCTGTATTGGGATGTGTAATGGGGTGGTGTCTTTTGAATGTGTTTTAGAAGAGTTTCTGTGAATCAGGCTGGCTTTAAAGGGGGATGGGTGGGTAGTGGTGGAATTAATGCACTACGCCCAGTTTTCTTGGCAGGGAGCCAGAAACCAGCAATTGCAAACTCTCCTTTCTCCGGGTGAGTCAGTGCAGCAAAAGCAGCCTGCCAGGAGGAGCCTGTGTCAAAAGGGTGTCCTCCAGCCTCATGAGTAGAAGAGTTTCTGTGAATCAGGCTGGCTTTAAAGGGGGATGGGTGGGTAGTGGTGGAATTAATGCACTACGCCCAGTTTTCTTGGCAGGGAGCCAGAAACCAGCAATTGCAAACTCTCCTTTCTCCGGGTGAGTCAGTGCAGCAAAAGCAGCCTGCCAGGAGGAGCCTGTGTCAAAAGGGTGTCCTCCAGTCTCATGAGTAAGAGAGTGAGAGAGAGAGAGAGAAGACACTCAGGCTAGATCTATGTAGACAAACTAGATTCTAGATCTATGTAGACAAACTTGATTCTTTTTTTTTACGTGCATAGTTACAAATGTGATAACAATGCAACATGGATACAGTGCACACCACAACAAACAACTGTTTGGGTACAGATGGTGGTGATGCCATCTGTGTGAGTCACAGCAATCAACCACCACCCTCCTTGGCCACTGCACAGAGAATGTTGCCCATTCATAGAGAAAAATAACTTGGGGAAGCAGTGAACTCTGGTTCACTGTGGAATGTCAGCATCAGGGTGTGTCTCTCAAGGAACTCCGGGTGGACAACAAGTCATGTGTCCACCTTCCAAAGGTTAAGGAGAGAGGGGGGGAACTCAGTAAAGTCCTTGATTTTTGTCCATTCCAGCTGCCTTGATATGAAAAGACACCTGGATGAGGAATTTTTAAGCCCTGAAGAAAATGTGAGGCGAGGATCACCTCTCCCCACCCTGTGAATCCAGGCTCTCCAAAAGTTGCACAGAATTTCTCTACACAAAAACACGTGCCCTTTCTCTTTATGGCTGCGACTAGGTGGGCATTCATCCTGTTGTTTGTGCTGGCGTTCTCACTGTTTTGCAGAACTTGGAGAAGTTACTTTGGGGCCATGTTTTTCCCATTAACTGCACAACTTAAACCTAACCACAGGCAGGCAGAGTCTTCTTCCACGAGTAGTCGGTACACTTTGGGTGCAATTACACAGGGCGAATACAGCGTCTGATATACTTTGCATTCACAGTTTATTAAATCGGGTTTCCTCAGATGAATTGCTGTTGCTGTCCAGATGACAATTTGCAGGAGTCAGCAGGGCATAGAGAGAAAGAGCTTTGTTTGCATGGAGTTCCAACAGCAGGAGCTGTCTTAAAGTGCTAATTGGCAATTTCCACCTCTCCTTTTGTTTGTTTACTTCTTCTATGTGTGCTAGTGAGACTTTGTTCCAGTACTGACTTGTAAGCTTTAAATAAATTTTTAAAAAAGACTATGTGGAGATGAGGGGCACTTGGTTGAGAGGAACTGACACCCTGGCAAACACTTTTTTGCATCAGATCAGGTGGTCACACAGCAGAAAGCAGACATAAGTAATGTCAACCCCATCAGAACAAATTTAAACCACCCCTGCCAGCAGAACAACATCAACAAAAAGACAATTCCCCACTCAAAAAAGAAAATTCCACAACAGACTTCCCTGCATTGAGTCACGTAGGCCCCTGGTTTTAGTTCAAATTCACCTGTACCCAGTCCAGTGCAAATGGTGGGGTTAATGGCCAATGTAGTTTCCCCTTTTGTTCAGCCAGCAGAGCTTGGGGGCTTGGGGGTGGGGTTGGTTAGCATTTTCTGCTTGCATTATTTTATCTTGATCTCTGGCTTTATCTGGCTTTGGAGCGGGGAAGTATCCTGATCACATGGAGGGTGATGTTTTCAGTGAGGCCAGGTCTGGTGGCTCAGCATTACTTATTTCTGGCTTATACCTCTCAGGTAGGTACTAGAGATGGGCACAAATCAGAAAAATGGTGATTTGTTTTGATTTGTGGTTCATCAAGGTTGATGAATCATGAATTACAAATCAATTTCTGACAAATCGATTAAATGATTTGTCAATTCATTTTTAAATTTAAAACCATATAAAATGCCCCTCCCTGGTACCTAGAGACACAAAATCTGCAGAGAACCTTCCTCTAACTGTCATCTACTACAAGCCCTGCAAGTTTAATGAAGTTTGAGGTTTGGACATCCAGGTTATACACACACAAAGAGCTCTCTCTAGGAAAGTTTTCCCCCAGGCACCTAGAGACACCAACATCACAGAGAAGCTTCCCCTTGTTGTCCTCTACAATCCCTCCATGTTTGGTGAAGATTGGGTTTCAGACATCCATGTTATACACCCATAAAGTGGGTCCTCCTAGGAAAGTGTCCTTTAGCATCTGGCTTGAGGAAGCCCAATTGTCACCAAAGTGGGAGACACTGTAGAGGAGAGTCATGGGAAGCTTCTCTGTGATGTTGGTGTCTCTAGGTGCCTGGGGAGAACTTTTCTGGAGGGTCCTGTTTGTGGGTGTATAACTCAGACATTTGAAATCCAATCTTCACCAAATTTTAAGGGGGAGTCAGAGGATGATTTCCTGTAATTTTGGTGTCTATAGGTGCCTGAGGGCATTTTATAGCCCAATGAATTGATGAATCAAAAATTGCTACAAATTAATTGATTTGTATCCATTGGGGCATTGATTTGTATGAATATGAATCGATGAATTAGAGATTTCTGAACAAATTTGGTGATTCATTTTTAATTTGTGCCCATCTTTAGTTGATAGCTGTTTAAAAAGATCGCCACCTTTTTTAAAAAAAAAGTTTTTACTAGTTTACTGCTATGTCAAATAAGCAAAGAGGTGGTAATTCAGAAGTAGCTCTGTCTTGTCCTTTCAGTACTATATTGCTTCATAAAATGAACAAAAAAGGGGGGTGGCAGGGAAGAGGGCAAGGTTAATGACAGAGAATGATGTGATATATACTGTAGGAACAATGAACCGCCCAGTGGTTTAGGTATCTGGCTGCAGAGCCAGAGTTTGGGGGAGTTTGGTTCTTCACTTTGCCTCCTTGACAGGGGCTGGACTTGATCGTCTATTGGGTCCCTTCCAGCTCTGCCGTTCTTCGATTATGAAATGCACCTGTCTCTGTGGGCACCTGCAACACACCTTCCCAGGATAATCAAACATTTCTGTGTGAACAATAGCAAGGATTTTGGTTGGCACAGGGTGTGGTATAGAGAGCTTCACATCAACCGAAGACAGCTTCCCATCTAGTCACATTCTTTGAAGCAAAGCACACACACACAGCAAGCATAGAGGAACAGATGAACTGTTCTTTTATAAGGGAAACATGTGACAGATTTAGAGGAGCTTGTAGCTATTATTGAGTGGTTCAGGTTTAGTTCTTCTCTGAATGTATCCATACATTCTTTTTCAGTTTTTCTTTGTTATCAGAGAGAATCATTGCAGCTGCCTTGGGATGCTATTAGGTGGGGAATTGAAGGATGAAGAGGTCAATGAGGAGGAACAAGCAGGCAACCTATGCCCATAAGACAGTCTGTCAACTTGCAGTCCACATTTTGAAAGGGGGAAGAGGATCTTTAGAAGGACGAAGGCAAACTCAAGAGATGAGCCTCAAATCCTGTGTCTCTATCTTAAAGGTGAAGAGTTAGCAAGTCAGATTTAGCACAATGTGTGAATGCAGAAACACTAGAAATGGCTGTGTAGACCCATCCATTGTTTCTGGAATTGGGTAGCTATTTTGGCATATCTACATATACGGTAATAACACTAGAAATGGCTGTGTAGACCCATCCGTTGTTTTTGGAATTGGGTTAAGCCGTAGCTATTTTGGCATATCTACACATAAGGTAACTACATTGGTTTCTTTCTGAAAACAACATAGGAATGCAATCAGGCTAGCTTTATAACTCTTTCTGTCCTTAGCTATCAAGTAAATACAGTCAGATCATGTGAATAGTAGACTGCCCAAATCTGCCCTGATTTGACTTTGAGATACAGGATGCAATGAATAGAGCATGGACAAAGAACACAGGCTTTCCTGGCAGGGGAAGACGCAAATGGGAAATAAATGATCTAGAAGTACAAACTGTGTTCTCCAGGCAAGTGATCAACTAGTCCTATATCGTACCATTTGTCACTGTAACATGTAAGTTAACTAAATGCCCTCCACACAGGGAGTCACGCCTTCGTTTGTCATGAAACGGCAGATTGGAAGGTGAGGGAGAACTGAGTCCGTTCTCAGAGTGAAACAATATTTTTTGCCTGGGATGGCCACAGGTACTCTTTCATGGAGGGGAGTCCTTCATCTGAAAGGCTTCAGAGAAAAATGCTGCTTTTTGGAATGTCTTCCATTTGAAGGCCTGCCCTGTCCAAGTTTCATTTAAAGATAAGGAGCCATAAGGAGGAAGACCAGGGACCTTGAAATTGTCCGCCCACAGTGAGCACTGCTCCCGCCAAACACATAGGATATCAGGTCAGCATTTCCCCCATTCCAAAGAGATGCACTTTAATTCCATTTAAATGGTAAAATTCATTTCTCCTTTTACATCTCTACCGCCAATTTTGTACAAGCAATTTTACAAAAATTCAGGGGCCATTTTTGTCCTCCTCTTTAGTGATGCCTGTCCTCCTTTGCTATGAGGTGTAAATGGCCACCTTAGTTCTGCCTCTGCACCAGACCTCTTTGAGGCTTTGCCACAGGATTCCTTTTTTGTTTGGTTGGGGGGTTTTTTGTTGGAAAAAATGGGATTCTGGTGAGGGCAGTTTTCATTGAAGTGAAAGGTGGGAAGGCCCTTAATTATTCTCTCACCAAATGTTCCCCCATCCCTACAATTCTCCTCCTCCAGTAGTGCTTTCCCTGGCAAAGTTTCCAGACCAGAGTTTCTGTCTGAAACATAGGTTTGTAAACCTGTGCAAGGGAAGAGATTTGGAAGGAAAAAACAGGATTCCATGGAAAGGCCAAGTCTCTTCTTTCCACCCACTGTTTTCTAATGGAAA